ACACTCCAAAGAGAAAGGAAAAATTGTAATCGCATCATATGACCCCTTTAATATAGCTAGATAATGTAATGTTACCTTGGTAACTTCACAGAAAACCAGAATTTATTTCTATGATATAAATTTCTTAAACAACATATTGCGGACTAATACAATGCAGCAACAATTTGACCAATTTTGCATTGTAGATTAAATGAAGTACACAATTTCTACAAATTATACAGGTGCATCTCAATAAATTAGAATGTCGTGGAAAAGTTCATTTATTTCAGTAATTCAACTAAAATTGTGAAACTCGTGTATTAAATAAATTCAGTGTACACAGACTGAAGTAGTTTAAGTCTTTGGTTCTTTTAATTGGGATGATTTTGGCTCACATTTAACAAAAACCCACCAATTCACTATCTCAACAAATTAGAATACTTCATAAGACCAATAAAAAAAACAAATTGTTGGCCTTCTGGAAAGTATGTTCATTTACTGTACATGTACTCAATACTTGGTAGGGGCTCCTTTTGCTTTAATTACTGCCTCAATTCGGTGTGGCATGGAGGTGATCAGTTTGTGGCACTGCTGAGGTGGTATGGAAGCCCAGCAAACTTTTCCACGACATTCTAATTTATTGAGATGCACCTGTAGATCTCTGCATTTGTAAATGAGGGCTGATTTAAATGACTCAAATCTGTTGAATCTTATTAGGGATAACTAGTCCTTTGTTAAAGGGTTAGTTCACCCAAAAATGAAAATTCTGTCATTAATTACTCACCCTCATGTCGTTTCAAACCCGTAAGACCTTCGTTCATCTTCAGAACACAAATTAAGATCAATTAAAAGAACCAAAGACTTAAACTACTTCAGTCTGTGTGCATTGAATTTATTTAATACACGAGTTCCACAATTTGAGTTGAATTACAGACAAACTTTTCCACGACATTCTAATTTATTGAGATGCACCTGTAGATCTCTGCATTTGTAAATGAGGGCTGATTTAAATGACTCAAATCTGTTGAATCTTATTAGGGATAACTAGTCCTTTGTTAAAGGGTTAGTTCACCCAAAAATGAAAATTCTGTCATTAATTACTCACCCTCATGTCGTTTCAAACCCGTAAGACCTTCGTTCATCTTCGGAACACAAATTAAGATATTTTTGATGGAATCTGAGAGCTGTCTGACCCTGCATAGACAGCAATGCAACTGAAATGTTCCCTGTCCAGAAACGTAGCAAGGAGATCGGTAAAATAATCCATGTGACATCAGTGGTTCAATCGCAATTATACAAAGCTACGAGAATACTTTTTGTGCGAAAAAAAAAAAGAGACTTCATTCAACAATTTGTCTCTTCCTCATCACCCTGTAAACAGCGTATGCTGTTTTGTGTCTGCTGCTTCATGCCAGATATGCTGTTTCCGTTCAGATCAAATCACAACAATGTAGGAAACAGATCCTATCTGAGAAAACTCAGAGAGTGAGTAATTAATGACAGAATTTTCATTTTTGGGTGAACTAACCCTTTAAGCCGTAATGTTACTGACCAATCATACAGTGGCATGATAGGGCTGTGCAGTATGGCCTAAAATATTATTACAATATTTTTTTCCATATCATGTGATATTGCTAATAATCAAGATATTGATTTACCATTAATGGAGAAGGAAATGCTTTTCACATGTTTGTTAGACCTTGAGAATGAATGTAAAGACAACTTTGTCCACAGACAGCTACCTTTTAACAACACTGTATAACTATAAATTAATGAAAAAATACCTTGGTTGTATGATGTTCCTTAAAAATAGTCATCTATTTCTGTAATAATTTCTTCAAGTTAAACCAAACTTTTATTTTGACGGGTTGTCATGAAGGTCTTTCGGTTTTATTTTAATTTTCAGTGTATATTTTTCGGAAATGAAATTGTGAAAAGCTTGTGAACAAGTGACTGTCAGGGCAGCTCTGGAGTAGGGCTGTCAAAATGACTGAAAAACTACATTCGAATTTTCTACTTAAATATGATTTAAATTCGTATTTAAAAGGCATAATTTCAGTTAGGGGAAAAAAAAGC